ATAAATCTGGCTCAGGGTATATCTGTTTTGCCTATTTTCTCGAAGAATCAGCTCCTGCTTTCATTGATTCTTTCTATTGTTTTATTTTTCTCAATTTTATTTATGGTCTAATCTATATTATTTCCCTCCTTCTACTGACTTTGGGCCTCATTTGTTCTTCTTTTTTCTAGTTTCATTAATTATTGATTTTAGAGTGTTCATATGGGATTGTTCTTCTCTCCTGAGGTAGGCCTGTACTATAATATACTTCCCTCTTACCATGGCCTTCGCTGCATTTCTGGGGCCTTTCTTGCTGTCAATGTCTCTAGGCCTCTGACAACTTTTTAATAAACACACCCCCTCTATTCTTGAAGGAATACAAAATTAACTGGAAATTGATAATTAACACTGAAGTATTTTTTCTGTGTCATTCTTTAAGCAGATTGATAAACCAGATAGCTAAGGTCCATATAACTAAGCACTTCTGTCTGACCCAGAGTGATCAGGAAAGGCTACATAAAGGAATTGAGACCAAAGGGGCAGAGAATGTTCTATGCAAGAAGAACATGGGCAAAGTTTCAGTGGTAGGATTCAGCATGGCTAGTTTGTGATGGGAGTAGGCAAACTGCAGGGAACAGAGGATGGAGGAGAGACGGTGAAGAGTTCTTCCATCTCTTCTTTCCTTTGGTTGAGAAGGAAAAATGGAAAAACAGTTCTACTGGACCATAAAAGCTAGGGAGCCAGAAGAAAATGAAAAAATGAATATATGCTACATCTTCCAAGTTTCAGATTACTACAATTTTGTAATCATGGTGTAGAAATATCTAACCATAATGCCATGAAAATTCCATACCCTGGAGTCAGTAGCTCTGACTGTCTCAAGAGTAATGACTGAGAGATTAGAACTATATTCCCAAAGCCAGTCACCAAACAAAGTCCCTCTTGCCTCTCAGACTAGCCAGAGAAGCAGCAGAGGCAGGCATGAGCACCCAGTTGGCTGTGCCAGCCATGATAATGAGCTGTACACAAATGTTTGGTGCCCAAAATCTACTAGTGTTTACAACTTGGGTGTGACTATCAGCCACATGGGACCAGAAGTGAATGGGCTCTTTCCTAGATGGCTCGCTGTCTCTGTAAGTTCACTTACTAGAGATGTTTTGAGCGGGTCTATGGAATGGTGTTGGGAGCAAGTTCTAGATCCACTCTAACCTGAGACGATCAGAGATACTATTTTCTTATGATTGTCAATCAATTCCAAAAGTAGAGACAATAGATTTCAAAACTACTAAATTGTACTCATCAATTCCTAACAAAGTACATTTTCCACTTACCTTCAGGTCTCTGTGGATGAACTCTTTTGAATGTAAATAATCCACTCCTGCTGTTATTTGTTCAAATAATTCCAAAGCCAAACATTTGTCTTGTTGCTTGCCTCTTCTGCTGTCAATCCATTGCTCCAATGTTCCTTTATCACAGAATTCCATTTGGATGAAAAGGCACATAGTGTTTGCCCTGGATATAAAATTCATAATATATTAGAATTAGCAATTAAAATAAATATATAAAAAAATATACTTCTTTTTTAAATCATACCATATCTTCTTAAGAATCCCAAAATATGTTTTAAAACATGAATATAAATATAATAAATTTGGATCAAAACATAGTATACCATTTTTTTTTAAATCATATGTTCCCAGATGTCCAGAGTTTTATTTGTTCAGCCAGTTTATAAAGTATGAGCCTGCCCATTTTTTAATGGTGAAAGGCCTCGATCCCCTTTGCTAATAGATAGGAATAGGAGCATTAATACAATGAAATTGCAGAAAACTGAATTTCATTATTATATAAAGTAATTTTGGAACATTTAAATTCACCATCAATCTATTCAGCATGTATTTTGTGAAAGGCAAAGAACAGGCAGCTAGAGATGAGAAAATGTGTTAGAGGATGTTCTTGCTGTCATGGAGACTATAGTTTAATAAGTGAGAGAGATAAAGGAAAAACAAACCTGAAACAACAGTAGAACGACAGGTACTCTTAAGAGAAATACCAACATTTGTTCCTATGAGATATGTGGGGGGACTGATTTCGCTAACCACGTTTTATTTTATTTTCTAAATTAAGCTGCCCTCAATATTAATTCATATCTTTGAACTTATGTTGGGTAGAAAATAGGAGGAGGTAGCCAATAATTAGATGAAAGCTGGGGAAGTTGCCTATGTATGCTAACGGCCATAACTCCTGAAACTGATGATAAGTTCTCAGTTACGTGGGTGGAGACGGGGCTGGACAGGAAACAATGAATGAGCAGGTCCTCAATGTCTTCTGGATTTCAGCAAGGACTGTCTCCAAGAAACAATGGGAGATTTTCAAAAGGAGAAGCCAGCTCTTTAGAACCCTCTGGTCCTTTGACAACAGCTTACCTGAGGCAATACATGAGTGATATAAGACAGGGTGCCCCATCACAGCTCGCAGTCTTAAAATTATTTTCAATACCCACCACCCCACCAGTGGTGTGACTGCATTCAAAGGAGGCCCTTTGACACCCCACCAATAGGGGCCTGCGAGAGGGAAAGAAAAGTGTTGCAGCTGAGGAGGGGGCCTCCAGCTGCAGTATCTACAACATGTTCCAATTTTGTACACGAGACTTCATTGATGGCCTGGGCTGGAGTCGGGGCACGTGAGCAAGTCTATACATGAAATAGGAGAGTCTGGAAAGCTAAGCCGGAGATTTTGAAAACAGCTGGGGACAATGAAAAGGTTCTTCACACAAGTCTGGAGCAAGGAAAAGATTATTTACTGTCTCCTTACCTGCTGAACAGAGACATTAACAGTATTTATTTGTGGTTGCGATTATTAAATGTAATAATGAATGGCCTTATCCAGTGTCCCACACATAGTAAATGACAGCTGGCCCCACCCTATTGTGGCTATGACACTTATTTTTAGTTACCTTGAAGTATTTATGCTGTCCTCAGGATCATAATCAAGCCCATGCCAACAGCTATAGTAGTGAACAATATTTGCATGACTAAGTGTCGCCAAAGCTTTTACTTCCCGCTCTACCTTTCTGGTTAAAAGAAACAATACAGAAGTGTCAGTATACATCCTTGATAACAACTACAACTCAAGTAACAAGAGACAACTATCTGTACTTTCTTATTCAACAGTTGCCATGGTTCCCATACCCTGAGTTTTAGAGTGGAAACGGAGCACTCAAAAGAAAAAGTGAATCTAAGGAAGAAAACAGAGCTGTTATTACTCACCACGTAAAAGAAAAAGCAGTGGCTTAATTAAATTCCAAACATCAGACCATTTAAAAGTCTATTTAGTAGTCTTTGAAATACAAGTGATGCAACTTTTGGTAGCTAATTCATACATTATGTTTCATTCAGACTTGTGTTAAAATTGCTTTGGATTTCATAAGCAAACCCCATTTGGGCAGCAAGGGTAGGTAAGAACAGGCAGCAGGAAAAACCTAATTCAGAATTTTCAGTTTGTGGCAAAAATACACAAAGGAGGTAATCGATGCAGAGAAACTGAGACATGGCTACACATGTGGGAGCTTGATAGGAATGTGTAGTCAAGAGCTAAGACAATTCCACAATTCCACAGGTAAATGGAATAAATAGATTTGAGATTTCAAGGATGAGAAATAAAAAGTAAATATTTTGTAATTTCAGTTTTTAACTTAAAAGTTCTATGACTATATGATATAAAATTTTTAAAAATAAAAAATGACTCATACATGGAAAATACTAACATAATTTGCTATTATTTTGCATTATTTATTTATTTTATTTATTTTATTTTTATTAAGATATCATTCATATACATTCTTAGGAAGGTTTCACATGAGCAACCTTGTGGTTACTACATTCCCCCCTATTATCATTTGCATTATTTCTTATAGTCTTTCTTCATATACACTTTTATATATTTATAATTATAGTAATTTTTATCCTGCTTTTTCATGTTAACATGTTATCTTTACAATTTTCCTTGTTGTTACACAACCTGTATACTCATCACATATAAACTTCTTATTGTAAGACTTCTAAAGTATAAAAAAGTAGAGCAAATAGAGTAAGGAACCCCTACCTAGTCATCACCCAGATCAAACAGTTATTACTCCTAGCCACTCTTATTTCATCTATATTCTTACCCACTTCATTATCTTCCCCTAGGTTATTCTGAAGCAACTTTCAGCATCATAGCATTTCAGGTGTAAATATTTTCAGTATATAACTTTCACTTTCAATGACTGCAGGTAGCCATTGATCAGGGGAGAGAATAAAACATACTTAATGATTTCTTATTGTGGGATATTTTGCTTGTTCTAATTTTTCACTGTACAAATGACAGCATGATTTAATTTGGGTAATATCGTTAGACTAGGCTCCCAGACAGGTAATCCATAGGCCAAAGTGTATAAACATTTTTATGGCTTTAGGTTAATATCTCCAAGTATATATGTATTTTGCCAGTTTATGAAGCCACTATATATGTCCGAGGTACTGCATTCTTATCATCGAGTATTACCATTTAAGAAAATGCTATCACAAAGACCAACAATACTTCATTCCTGTTAAATAAAACATTCAAGAAGCTAAAAGCCCTCTTTCGATGCTGAGTAAGTTTGAAGGTATTTTAACTGCAAGTGCATTGTCTATGGGGCAGGAAGTAGGTTGGTTTGACTGGGATGAAGAGTGTCCAAGACTCCATGCCCGCCTCTCCTTTGCTCATGTCACCCTCCTTAGCCCATTTTCCTTTTCCCTCTCCTCTAGTCCTTGAGGGATCAGTCTGGCCAAGTTACATACCGTAAAACTGCCAGAACACAACAAGCAAGATTGGGGGACTGGTGAACGTGGGATTTAAGACCTCCTTCCTATGTGTTTTCCTTCCTGAAGGAGTTCTGCTATCCAGAAAGCGGGAGAGGGGTTATGCATTCCACAACACCAACACTGGAGGCAACAGCTACTAGCGGGAACACAGCAGACAGGCATTCCAGGGGATGAGCTCTACATCTCCACCTCGTTGCCACAGAGCTAGTGTCTGAAGATGGTCATCGGCAATCCTGGTCCTCCCCATACATGCATCCACTCTTCAGGTTACAAAGCAGAGTCTACTGGCCTCCCCTCAAATTCTGAGCTGGGTCAGTGACTTTGTTTAACCAACATAATGTGGAACTTCCAAGACGAGGTCAAAAGTAGCCATTCCTGTCCCTCCTGAGACGACTTGCTCTGGGGACAGTCCTTCTTGGAACCCAGCCACTAAGGTGTGAGATGCCGGCCATATGAAGAGGCCATGTGAAGACACTCTGGTTAACAGTCCCAGCTGAATATCCAAACACAGCCAGCATGAACTTCTGGCCATGTGAGAGAGCCATCTTGGTTAGCCAGCCTAACCAGGTATTGAACTTTTGGGTGATTCCTGACTGCAAATGCATGAGACCCCAAGTGAGAATGGTTGAGATGAACACAATCAACCATAAGAGATTATAATAGCTTGTTTTCAAGCCTCATTTTAAGTTGTGCATTAGCATTATGTGATAATAGATAACCAGAACAATTACCAATTAGCTTTTACATTTGACAAGTCAGTTCACATCTTTGGATCTCAGTCTCCTCATCTATAAAATAAGGAGATGGGATGAAAAATCTCAAAAGTCACCATAAGCTAAATGATTTTATGACTTCAGGCCTCAAGAAGACAGTTTCGACAGGATGATCAATAGTATATCCATTTTTTATTGAAATAACCAGAGTAAAGTAATATCATTTCAGAGTAGGCCAAGCTCCTGCAAGTGGAATAACATTATTAAGGAGGACTAGAAAAAAGTAAAGAATAGACTAATGAGGAAGAGAGATATGTAGAAAGGAACAGCATAGGTTCAACACATCTTTGCATTCAAAAGAATAAAACATTTACTACTTACTTGTCATTATACTTAACACGCTTAATAACATATATCTTCCCATCAATTCTGTGTTTTGCTTTGAAAACTTGGCCAAATCCGCCTGAGCCGATTGGTTCTATTTCTGTAAAATCACCAGCAAACCTTAAAAGATAAATTCTACTATTATTCTGAGGTTCAGTGCCCACTGCTCCCCCTCTACCCTTCCACTTTCCCTTAATGCCACTGGTGAAATAGATGGTGTAACAAACATGACATTCCCTTCTGAATAAGAAGGGTCCACTTTACAGAAACTCTTAAATCACAAAGGGTAGTTCCTCCTCCTTCTCCTTCCAACATAACAGATCACTTCTGGAAGTCACAGTCAATTCCTGGCAGCACAAAAGCCATGATAAAGAATCTTATCACAAGTATAAAATTTTAGGAGGAAGAGCTATATTGTTTTCCCCAGCTACCACCAAGCTATTATAAGGGAAACGAGCACATGCTCTGAGCTTGCCTAGGTTTGTAACTACCTGATTTCCCCTCTCCCTCATGCCCCATATCCATCATTAAGCCCTGCCAATTAGACTTCCAAAATGTGTCTGCCTCCTTCTCCCCATCTCCACCACCTTCACACCAGTCCAAGCTGCCATCAGGCTTGGTCGCAAACTCTTGCTAACTGGACTCTTTATTGCCTCTCCCTCCTCTGCTCCAATCCATGATCCACACAGCAACCAGTACAATAAAAACTTAGTTTGATCATGTTTCTCTATTGTCTAAACCCTCCAATAGCTTACCTCAGCATTCAGCAAAAACAGAAACCTTAAATGGCCTACAAGGAGCCATGTGCTTCCGTCTCCTGCCTGTCCTGTGGCACTGAGCTCTTGCTCACTGCATGCCAGGCACACAGCCTTCTCTCTGCCCCATGGACTCTCACATCTCCTTTCCTACCTTCCCCTTTCCACATGGCCTTCTGTGCAGAACCACCCACAGAGCCTCCCTGCCTCCCTGTGCTAACTCATCCTCAGGTCTTGCTGCAAACATGACCCCAGAGAAAGCTTCGCCTCAACCCCTCCCTCTAAAGCCAAGAGTCCAGTTTTCATTTCTTACCATGTCATTGATTTTCCTTCAAACCTCTGTCCATAGTTTGTAATGTCAAACTTTTGCATGTAATTATTATCCCCACAAAACTCTTTGAGGGCAGAAGCTGTTTCTATTTGTTTCTACTATAAATACAATGCCCAGCACAGTGCCAGGCATATATTAGATACTTATTAAATATTTGTTGGTTCTTTATTGCTTGCTTAAACTTGTATTCAATATCCCCCCATTGCAAATAGGCTTAGTTTGTTTTAGCTTTTTTATTAAACCCAAACATATGATCTACCACAAGAGGAATCCTTCTTCAAAGTGAAACATGGTATGGAGCTGGAAAATGGAAAACAGATTCGATCTGTTCCTGCAGGAATAGTTCTTTTTTAAATCACTGGCTTATAGGAATATTTGTTTTCGATATTAAAAACTTCCATAGATGTCAGAGAAATCCACATATGCATCACACAGACCTACTTTGCCACGTTCTATTGGAACTCATCTGAACTTTACTTCTCCAATAGATAGTCATCTTTGGTGGGCCTGACTATACTAAAATTATCAAACTATTCAGATAGAAAAAACTTAACCTCCCTTCAAAAACTTTTGTTGAATGAGTAAATATATCTTTAAACAAATTCTTTTTTACATTTTTTTTCTCTTACCTGCTGTCCGTAGTATACTTGTTTCTCTCTATCGTAGGAGGGTCAAATTTAGGTGCCAAACTTCTAGGAATTAAGAGAAGAAGGTAAAATTCAAAACAAATCAATATAACCTGTTTAGAGTAGGTTCTATGCCATGCATTAGGCTTTCTATATTTTGAGTCAATTATTAGGGCACCAAGTATTAAGTCTTTTCATTATAAAACAGCATACGTATAGTTCTCCTGTAACAATTTTTCATTCCTTCCCTGGTTCCTCATTTGCCTTAACACATACATTGTCGGTACACCACTGGCCTCTCCTTTTCTTCCTCCAGCCTCAAAACCTTGGAAAATATATCTCCTTGCACTTTCCTTCTGGTAGGTTTTACTTTGTACTTTACTCATGGTAAGCCACCTGCAATTGGAAGTTCAAACGTCACCTAAAACTAAACGTATTCAGATTGCTATCTTTCCTCCAAGCCTTTGAGTCGCCGACTTCCTTGCCACCACCAGCACCATGACTCTCGCCTGGGTCTCATCCACAAGGACCATCTTCAAAGTCTTTCTCTTTTGCTGCTTCTTCATCTAGTTACTCTATTTCCTCAAGTCCCATCTACAATTCCTTTACAGTCCAACTTACAAAATCTCCTACCCCTCTTGACTACCCAAGGCTGAAGACCTAATCATCTCACATACAGTCCTCTCTTCTTTCCAATCCAAGCATCCACGTTGGGAATCATCTTTCTTTAATATGTCACCTACTGTTCAGAACATGTTGGTGGGTCATAATGGCTTCTGCTGCCATGTCACCCTTATCACTGACTATATTCACATCCTTATCTTTCTCTTCAAGAAATCAATTCACCATAATGCACATAACATTTTATCTTTTTTGTCTTGCTCAGGTTATTACACCATCTCTATCTCACCTGCTTGTTCTGCAAAATAATATACTTCTTTTGAAAAACATCTCTCCAAGCCTCATCCAAAACCAATGCCCTTAACCAATTATTCTAGCAGTACCCTTACTGAACTTATTTCTACAGTATAGTGTGTGCACATATTCAAAGGTATCTTTAGATATTTTAAATTGTTTGTAGACTTTAAGTTTTTGTGATCTTAACCGTGCATTCTACTTCTGAAACTCCACACAAGGATGTACAAAACTCTACAGATACTGAAGACTTAACAAATAAGGCTAATAAACTACACCTGAAATAAAACTTCATTTCAAAATACATTCAATGTATGATACTCACCTCCTTTTCACCTTCCTGGAATTACTTCTGATACTGCTCTATAACAGAAAAAAAAAAAAAAGGAAAACCATTTTAGATGATTAAATCAATTATTTTGTTTTCTCTTGTACTTCTACATGTTCTGGGACCACATTTGTATGCAAGATTCACAGCCTCTTAAGTTTTGTACTCTCATCAAGCTCTGATTTTCAGTTTACTTGGCTATATCAATGTTCTCACTGATCACAGCAACCAGACGTATATGGCAGGAAGAACAAAAAAGGCAACCTCAAGGCATGTTCTCCAGAAACACTGACCCTTCCATGTTCTCCCTGGGGATCCTCTGGGCCAGCGGATCCGAACAGGAAGACATGAACCACTGTTATCCACGGTGCTAGTAAAAACACAGATGGAGCCCAGGGATCCAGCTTCAATAATTCCCCAAGGGTCTCTGGTATGATCACCAGCTAAGAATGGCAATGCTGATGCTTTCATTTTTAGCACAAATCAATAATTTAATATTTAGCAAAAAGAAAGGAGTCTTCAATATATCTCTCAAAAATTAATTTCATATGGATATTCTTCAGTCATACACACTTTTATTCTGGTATTTTACCAATTTAATATGTTGACACTTAATCAGACTAAGATTTTTTTTTTAGCTCAGATGACCTGTAAGCCTCGGTGTCACATGATGACTATGCTAAGACTAATTTAGCCATTCTGTTAGTGGACAATATTTTTTCCAATCTGTTTTTATTACAAATGATGCTGCAAAGAACATGCTTATAAAGGGTTCCCTGTGCACACCTGTGAGTATTTTTCTAGAAGACATTCTTAGGAATGGAATTGCTTGGTGATACGGCATTACAAACTCAGATTGCCGAATTGTTCTCCAAAACGGTTGTGCCAATTTATACTTCCCCTGAGGCATGTAATAGTTAGAAATGGAATATAGCTGTGGCAGTACATTACTAGACTTGAATTTTGCCTGTCTGATGGTTTAAAATGGTATCTAACTGTTGTTTTGACTTGAATTTTCCTGATGACTATGAAGTAAAGCATCTTTTCATATGTTTGTTGACCATCTGGGTATCTCTTTCCTGAACTGTCTATTCAGATCATTTGTACATTTTCCTACTGAGTTACTTGACTTTTTTCTCATTATTTGTAGTTCTTTATAACTAGGACACTTCTGTAACACTCATCACCACAAAATGTATCTGATTTTTAAGTTTAGTTTTTATTTAATGAACATTTAAAGTACTGTCTGATTGGCAGAAGACAAGAAGCAAGATCATAGAAGTATATGAAACCATGAAGGTGAGCAGAGAGAGAAAGAGGAGAGTAGAGACTGGAAGAATTCAGCATGTGAGAAATGGGGGTTGATAAAGAAAGGGGACAGTTAAAAAGCGGCCAAGTATTATGCAGTAAGAGCACATAGGACAAAAATAGGAAAATTATCATTGGATACCGGAGGTAATTTTTAAGGGAGGGAACAAAAAGGAAAAGAACATTAACTAGGAAGGTACAGGCTGATACTATACCATAGAAGAAGAAGAATCGTTTAAACTGTCACTGTTACAATTGCTTTCCGATGTATTTGCTGAGAAGCCATTTTCAGATGGTGATTCACAAGTACTAGAAGGAAAGGGGATAGCTATTAGTAATTCTGTTTTTTGTTGATCAGTAATCTTTCTCTAACTTCTCCCTAAACATTACACATTATCATAAAAATTTTCTTTCAAGCAGCAATCTGACTTTGTTAAATATCAATTATTATTTGTCCACACTTACAATATGCTTGTCACCAAAGTGTTGCTTCCGATGTCATTAGACCCAACAGTGAGAGATCCAGAGGATACTGGATCAGCTTTCTGAAAGAAAGAGCTCCGCTTAGGAGGTGTAAGTGCAGCCAAATTCCTTCTCCACAGTGGCTCAGTCTCTATGTAACCACATTTATTTTCCTACATTTATCAAATTCATGACCATAAACAATTACAAGCTTACTACTTCTTTTATGGATGTTTGATGTGAATTTAAAAAACAACTCTGAGTTGCCAACAGACCTTTGATATTTCTGGGGCTGCATGGTCCCATGGCTCATGCCTCCTTGGTGGGACCCAGAACAGAGGAATCCTTTTGCCATGTGATTGGCTGTCTTGGCATCATCTAAACACAGTCTAATCTCAAATCAACTTCAGAGGGAATCTTAAAATATAAAAATTAAACCCAAAGGCTGTACATACCCTTGAGGCTTCTTTTGATTTTATCAGATCATGTGCAAGTTTAGCAGCCAATCGTTTTGCCTCCTGTTTAGTAGAACCTATACCAGTGCCATATTCTTCTTGTCCAATTTTGCATTTACAAAGAAATCTAGGAGAAAGATGGAGAGTAATTATCCAAATACCAAAAAACAGCAAATCTAAATTTTGATTTCAAAAAAAGCCCACATACTATCATAGGCCTTAATATAACACTATTTTAATAGGTAGATCTATAGCTCATATCTTGTATAAGTTACATCTTCAATAAGACAACTGAGCAGCTTGTCAGAATAACCAGGGTTGGCTAATATCATGGCTTGCATTTTCCAGGCAACTTCTCTTTGCTGTTTCATTGCAAGATCTGGCATAAAGGCATTACATGGTGATTTTTTTTAATTCCTCAAAGTCCAAAAGATATGAAAGTAAAGAAGGAAGACAGAGATCTGGTGAATTTTTTCAGAGATGCTCAAATGGAAAGAAAAAGCCAGTAGGGAAAGTGGGGCTCCTACAGGAGAAACAATATGGTTACAGGGGGTATAGAAGGGGATGCACAAACATGGATATTGCTCTAATTAGCATATTCTGTCCACTATTCCTATGTTCAAAGACCTAAAATAATCCCCACATTGCAAAAGCACTGTGCTAAAGTCCACACCCTCCTCATATTAGATGTAAGAACATCTGTGGTTAGGCAAGAATAGATGGACAACCATGTAAGAGTTGTACTTAGGGTGGCCAAGCAACGGACATGGTTAAGTATCATGGAATTCCTATGTATCACTACAAAATTATTCCAGTATCATTTGCTATAGAGGCAGACACCCAACCAGGATGAGTCTTTCCCCGTAGGCCCTGAAGGGACAGTTAGGGAGTCAGGCTGAGAGACTGGATCGTTTCTAAAGCTCCTATTTTTCCAAGGCACCCCCTAAGTAGATTTAGTCTCTCTTTTAGGTTTCTGCTGTTACAGTACTTAATTCAAAGGAACCAAACAGTTGAGCTATGGAGAAACAAGGCAGCCTTCTAATTTATTGAGATTGACCCACAGAATTTACCTTTGACCACTTCATTCTAATGGAAACTATCATGTTTCTCTTCCTGGTTCTGGCCTGAAAGCCATCAAAGTAAAAAGTAAGCAGCTGAATCAGTTCAGAGGGTGGTAGTTGAAAGTGGCTGGCTGTACTATTTGCCATTTAGATTTGTTTCTCTTTCTCTCATTTAACTGGTTGATGGTACCTGAGAAACAATCTCCTTTCTGCTCATTTGCTTTCTGCTTTTCCCCATTCCAATCTATTTTTTTTAATTGAGGTATAATTTATTTTTTATTGAAGTATAAGTGATACACAATTTTATATCGGCTTCAAATATACAACACAGTAGTTCAACAGTTACCCACATTATTAAATCCTCACCCCAATCAGTGCAGTTACTATCTGTCAACATAGAGAGATGTTACAGAATCATTGGCTATATGCTCCATGCTGTACTACCAGCCCTGTGGCCAAGTTATATTATGATCCATTCATTCTTTATCCTCACTTCCAAAGGCTTAGCTCACTGGTAACATTCTCACTAGCTCTGAAGCTCCAGTCTGTCCTGCTCCTATCCCCTAAATCCTGGTCTCCTCACAGTATAGGGCTAAACCCATTCGTTCTAATACATGGTATTTTTCTAGAGAGCGATACTAATTTAATTGAATTTGAAAGACAAACAGCTTTCTAATCTCACAATGGTAGAAACAAAGTCAATCTACACAGGTAGCAGAACTGTTCACTCAGCCCCTCCCACTATCACAAAGACCTCAGGGATGGGAAGATCTCCACACCCTTCAAGCAAGGGCACCCCTTACTCTCTTAGGTTTCCTGCAGACTAAATAAACCATGCTGATATGCCTCAGAAATAAAGGGTTATGGAGATTTGATCAACTATCATCTATGGGTCCCAAATTTCAGTAATTAAGCATTTTAATATTTTAATTACAAAGATGTTCAATTGCTTATAAGTCACATAAAAACTACCATGAAGAATGTACAAAAAAGGACACAATATTTCTGGAAAATTAGATGTGAAAATAAGCCCATTGAATTCTTAGATATAATAAGACAGAAAGAAAAGGCGAACTACATCTCACCTTCCAGGCCCAGCATCCCTCAGTTCGCATTGCTCATAATTTACTGATTGTTTTGTCTTCTGCGCAAACGTGTTAATAAAGCCTAGATAATTCCTAGTGGATGATCCTCCTGAAGAATCTGTTGTTGACGGTGATAAACAACTAGTCGGCTAGGAAGAAAAAAAATCTTGCTTAATATAGATGACAAAGATTTAACTACTTTGTTTTACAAAATTACTACATGAATAATTTGAAAGACAACTTAGATTTTATGTACCTCCATTCTTTATCACCTTGAGTAAAAATGTATATACCTTCCTCTACCAGAAAATAATCCACAGGCATAAAATTTAACTAGGAACACCCATTTTCTGTTTCTAGTTTCATAAGGAAAACCAAGAGAGTCCATTTTCTTGTTTTTCCATGCAAAATGCTGTAACACTGTCTAGCTTGCTGTACCCTTTGTAAATCTCAAAAAACAAGATAACAAATATTGAAGTGAAGTTATATCCTGGATCACACCTTAATGGAAAAGATGAATATAACTGTATCTTTCCTTCTATTGTTATCTGCACCTTATTTTTAACCTGACAAAATCCTGGCAAAGTTTTTCCTGCTTTATTAGTCTTGTCAAAGAACCACGTTTTGGTTTCATTGGTCGTTATTATTTGTTTTCTTTTACATTAACTTTTGTCCTTATTGTTGTATTATTTTTTTTCTGTTGCTCTCCTGGGGAAAGATATTCTATTACTCTTTTTCTGACTCCTTAACTTGGTTTTCTCACTCATTAGCAAGTGAGTTTCTGAATTTGTCTGATTTATTTTTTTTCAGTATTGGTTAAAAGGTTGATATCCTCAGGGGATACTTGTCAGGAAAGTATCTTGAAGGTAAGTTTTTCCAAAATTTGCAATGGCCGAGACTGATCTTCTTTTGTCCTACACATGAAGGACTTCTTGTCTCATTTTACAGCCTGCCACTGCTCCACTATCTCTGGTTTTCAATGTTGCTGTGGACAGCATGGTACTTTTTCCATTTTTCCATTTTATGTAACTTCCTTCTTCTGCCTACATGCTTGTAGGATTCTTTCTTCATTCCTAGAGCTCAGTACTTTCATAAGCATTGATGTTGTTCTAGGTGGTTCTCTATTTTTCTGTATCAGATGAGTAGTCTGAATCTGCAGCCAGATCTTTCTTGCAGAAACACTTCCTGCTGAAATCTTTTCAGATCGTCTTTTCCGTACCATTTCCTCTTCTCTCATCTTCAGGTACACCAATTGTATGTATGTTGGTTCTCCATCATCTGCCCTCCTTCTGCATCACTCTCTTCAGGATCCCTTTCACCCCTGTCCTTTTCCACTGCCTTTTCTCATTTAGGTGGAGGGACTCCTACCAGAACCTGCCAGCTCATGTCTCACTATTTCCTTTTCACCTTCCTTCAACTTTAGAGTTTGTCACTATTGATGATACTCTCAGTAGGTTTTGCCCAGGTTTGCCCACTATCTCCAATGTACCTCTCATTCAGGGTCCTACAAAAATGGAAACAGGAAAAAAGACTGAGCTATACTTCTGAACGTAAAGGAATTTGTGAGTGGCTTTGCATGTGGGTGTTTTCTCACACAGAAAAATATAAAATAAATTTGGAAGTTCCCTTTCACTAGGGGAAAAAAGGCAATTACCCACCTTGCTTTCTACATTAAGCTTGTCAAGAGCTAACTTGGCTGCAGCATTTTTGGCCTCCTTCTTTGATCTGCCTTCAGCTGCTGGAAATTCTCTGCCATTTATTGTAACTTTAAATGTAAACCTGATTACAAAGAAAATATTCACAAATTATTATAAAATTCATGCTTTATCTGAAGATTAGTGTTCCAGTCACCACTGCCTCTGAAGACAAGCTCTGAAGATTTTAAACTTTGTTCAGTATAGAATTTAAGCAGTCACCCCCAAAAAGCAAAATAGCACACACTGTGAAGTTTGGAAAAACTTGTAGCTTTTTTTTCACCTCTGGAGTCCTCCAAAGTTACACTTTATGCCAAAGGCCTCTTGCAGAACTCTGCGGTAACTTTCCTCTAAAGTTAAATTACTGACTTTATAATTGTGCCAGAGTTGCCATTTCCCTAGTTTATGGTTTATAGAGATTGGCCCTTTTTAAATAGCAACTTACGTTAAGTCATGTGCAGGTCCTGCCTTAGACAATTCGTAATACTTAACTTCGGTGTTGTGCTTCTGACTGTAGGTATTAAGTTCTTCTATGAAGCAGCCTGGTGGAAGGTCATTGGCCATTTCTTCTTTCAGGAACCTAAAAGAGAAGAGTTGTTTAAAGGAAGTCACATGCTTGTCTCTCTGCTCTGAAGGCACTATTTGCATCCTCTGTCTACGCGGCAATTTCCATTCATCTCTGAGAATCAACACAGCCTCCTGGAGGGGGAGCTAGAATTCTTCCATGGGCCTGCCACTCTACCTCGCCCAGCTCCCATCACAGCCCTGACTGCTTTTCAAAAGAGTCAGTGAGCACTTTAGGGTGGAAGTTCTGTTTCACTCGTCGTTGTATCACCCACACCCATTGGTAAGTGGTAAATGCCAAACACTTGCAAGGTGTATGCAGAATGAGCGAAAACCTAGTTAAAATTAAATATTCCACTATAAACTCTTCACCTTCTCCCTTTTCTTCATCTGCTGTTTTCTGTGCATCCTTTCTTCATTCATTCAGTAAATGCTTACCAAATGTCAGGCACTGTTCCTGACACTGAGCAAACAGATGTGAACATGACAGCTCAAGACCATACCTGCCTTCCACTGAAGACAGAAAATGACCATGTCCAGAAACAAAATCCAGGAGTGGATAATGTGATGACCAGTTGGCCAGAATGCTATGATGAAATTAAACAGGGATGCAGGATGGAGGGCACACTGGTAGGTTGGGCCAGAGATATGAGGGAGGTGGCTTTAGATAAAGTGGTCAGGGAAGACCCTTTATAGGAGGCAATATTTAAATCAAGCCTGAATGAGGAGAAAGTCCACCATACCAAGGTATGGGAGATGAATACCACGGGCAGAGGCAAGTCTGAGGTGGGAACCAGCACGGCATTTGTAGGGCTAACAAAAAACACCACAGGGACTGCTGCCTAGGGAATGAGGGGAAAAGACTTGAGAAATGAGTCAAGAGGTGAGCAGACACCACAGCACATAGACCTTGTAGGTCGTGGTCTAGACTGTGGACGTTATGACAATTGCAATAGGAAGCTATTAGAGGGTTCTAAGCAGAGGAGTGATAGTATTGGATTTATGTTTTAAACGATCATTCCGATGCTATGTAAAGAACGGGGTATGGGAGGCCAGGTATGGGAAGGGGAGCAGAACCTAAGTAGAAGTAGGGAGGCCAAGTAGAGGCCGCCGCGGTGCGTGAGCAATGGTAGTGGCTGGCCGCAGGGTGCTGGAAGTGCAGAGACTCTGAACAAAGGCAACCTCTTTACATTACTGCTTAGTGTTTTGGAGAGGGTTAGGCCTCAAAGCCACATATATCTGAACCTTTGATTCATAGTATCTGATTCATGATAATAGGAATAAAATAATTGATTCACAGGTTGTTGTGGGGAGTAAATCAGATCAAAAGCACCCAGGAGAGTCCCGCATACCGCTGACCCTCAATAAGGCCCTGTACTTCTGGTCTGCAATTCCAAAATTCAGAAGCACTGAAAACTGAGGTTTATTTTGTTTTCATGTTTTATTTTAGATTTGGTAAGTTTGTAGTCCTCTGTCTAGACCTAAACTGACATGGGCTGTTGAGAGTTTTTTTGACACTTTGTTGTCTATTTACATATTTCACTGTAGAAATATGTTTTATAATAGAGTGCTGCCCCCAAATCCTGCTGAGAGTATTATATAATATACAGGATTTATCCTGCCTTGTCTTTCTACAATCCCTAAATCTCTGACTAATAGAACACACCTAGCCTAAGGATTTCAGATAAGGATCTACCATTATTTTCAGGAACCAAAGGGACATTTACTTTAGTCACAACCATTGGAGGGGGTCATAGATCTCAAAACTACAGTTACAGAAGAGCCTTTAGCTATTATTTAACCTGAAGTTCTATCTAATGCTCTAAATCCTCAGCACTTTTAATTTTAAGTAACCGCTGATTATCAGAATGACAAGCCAGTTTGAATTTAAGTGAAGTACATGTGCAAATAATAAAGCACTGAATTCGCATGTTTGCAAAAGTACTTAGAAGTCTGGAAAAAAAGAAACAGCATGTTTCTTTTCAACTATTTTAAATAAATCTCACGTTAATTCCATGTTATCATTTTCATAAAAGAAGTTGCCACCATAATCACTAACAAGTGTTATGTGTCCCTCTTACTCACACCCAGACACCCAACACTTTGGCTGTGCCTCTCTCTCTTCCCTTCTGGCAGAGTATAAACTCCCTCCAGGACCTGCACAATTCTTGGCATACACAAGCATTCATTCAATTAGTATCTGATGAATACAACCAATGAATTATAGGAGTGTTACAGATCCTCAGGTTTAAATAAGCAAACTGCAGAACAAGAGTGTGATCTGCACACGATTCTGAATTCCTCCAGGGACAGTGGAAAGTGGATCTTTTGGCTTCCACCTGGCAAGGCATTTTTAGTACTAAAGAAATGACAGGCAATGGGAATTCGAGAGGGAATATATGAATTACCAGTCATTAAACAAATATTTAATTCACACTTACTATGTACTGGGTTATATTCACTGGGATTATCCTAGTGAACAAAACCTTGTTCTTGTGAATTTACTAATGGAGGAACACAGACAAAACCATAAAAACTGTCACAGCACGGTTAAGTACTGTGTTGCAAACTGAGGCAAAAGGGGGATGGCCAGAAAAGGGTGGGGCTTCTTTTACATGCAGGTAGTTCAGGTAGGGCTGCACTAATAGACATTGTACGAAGTACAGGGCACAGTGAGGGATTGGCCATGTAGGTATCTGGGCAAGAGCTTTCCAGGAAGAAGAAACAGGCAGTGCAAAGGCCCAGAGGCGAGCCTGTGCTTCTCTGTGCCCCAAGAACAGAAATGAGGCCTGTGTGGTTAGAGTGGAGGGTCAAGGGGTCTCGCCTGTGGGCCGATAGCTGTTTACAGGATGCTGGTGAGATGGGAAGCTATTGGGATGGTCTGAGCAGAGGCGTGTCCTGCTCTTACAGAAACCCTCGGGCTGCTGCAATGTTGACGATATACGGGAAGGGGAGGTACGGGCATGGGGTGAGGGTGGCTGAAGCCAAGCAACTGGGGGGAAAAAAATTTCAAGAGTCTAGGCAAGAGATTTTTAGCCAGGGCTTACTTAGCCATTCTATGGGTAATCCAGGCCCCCATATTGCCCATCGGTCGGTCATATTTCCCATTTTACCAGTTTTCCATTAGATCCCCCGGCCCCCAGCCCCAGCCTGGGCAATTCATTACTTGCTCTGATAAAAATTCTTCGCGGGAAGAAAACGGCTTTTCTGAGCTGCCCAATCCTTTTGCCATATGCGGGAAGGGCCCCACACGTCGGCTGCGGGCCCGGTTCGGCGCCCCGGGTGCGGCGGAGCCAGGGGTCGGTGCCTCTTACCTGCGTCCGATCCCGGGCTGGGGACGTGGGATGTGCGCGCGCCTTGACGCCGCTCCGCTCCTGGGGCCGCACCGCCGCCGTCCGCCGCAGCCCCGCTGGGTCGGCGCGCCTGCCTCTCAGTTTCGTTTTCCCGGCGGACTCCGCCTCCGGCCGCGGCCGCCCGGCGCCCCCTCCCGCGCAGGTCCGCACAGGCCCTGGGATCCGAGCGGCGGGCGCCTCCGCCCGGGTCCGCGCTGGGCGGGCCGGGCACCCGCGTGCGGCTCCGCCGAGCCCACCCCGGCTGTTCCCCGCACCGCGCTCGGAGGACGGAAGGGCCCCGAAGTTTCCGAGGCCTGCGGCCTGTCGGCGCTCGCTGTCAGGCTCTGGAATCAGCGATCCCTTTTCCTCTTCAGGGCACCCATTCGAAGTAGGGTTTGGGGGTGAGAGCAGATATTATTCGGCTCCATATTACAATAGAAATAGAACATACTACAATAGGAACTAAGTAAATTAACTTGCCCAGGGTCCAGCTGCTGGTAAGTGGCAAAGCCAGGATTCAATTCAAGGTCAGGCTCGTGAACCCCAAAGCACAATGTCCCCTTTCCTCCCTGCTGCCTCCTCACTTTCACTAGGCTGGGGATGAAGAAGCCTGGGGCACAATCTTTCTTGGATCAAAACCCCTCCAACCATTCATTCAACAGATACTTGCCAGCGCTGTACCCAGGATGGCGCTTCTGACAGTGCCAAGAGCCATCTGCTTCCGGAGGGGCCTCATGGGGTTTACAGCCAAAGCCCTTACCTGTAGTCCCTGCTTTGTAAGAAATCCTACTCACCTAATGGGCTGTGACATACTCTCAGAGAATTACTGGCCCACTGATCCACTGACTGAGGAGAGCTGAGGGCTTACCTCACAACAGTACAGCAAGGTAGTTGCTATGCCCATTTAACAGATAAGAAAACGCAGGTCAGGCACAGAGAACTGAACACAGCTAGTAAGCAGGGGAGCTGGAATTAGAACCAGGAGTCTGGATCTTCACCATCTAGGCTGGAAGCTAGGGTGAGGAAAGGAGGTGGCTCTAGGGGTCCTTTTCCACTTCTACACCCTTTTTCCCTTTGAGAATTGCAGGGTATCAATGGCTAAAAACTCTATTTTGCTTTATCTCAGGTCCTGAGCATGATATCAGTTCCCTAAATGTGAAGCACAGGAGGGAGCTTGGAGGGTATATAGGAAGCAGAGCCATCTTTCTGTGGCATTTCCAGGTGACCAAAAGCTCCAACAGTGGTGGGTGTTTGCAGGAATCCATCGACCACTTCGTGGGTGCAGGGTAGCTGAGGCAGCAGCGACAGCAATAGCAGGGATAACTTTTCTTACTTTTTGAAGCCCCTGAACTACCCAAGAGAGACTAAAGAGAAGAACTTCTTACTTTGTGTGTCTCCAGACTAATGTTGCAAAAATCAGGTGCAGAGTCTGATGTTACAGGTAGCAGAATTTTACAATGTAAATTTAATTTGCAGCATCACCAGGTCCCTTCTATGAATGTTAAGGGCATTGGTAGGAAAGAACAAGGGCCTTGGAATTTGGGTGGATTCAAATGATTCATAGTACCACTGCCCAACTTTTGCTGAGTGAAGAGAGGAAATCCATCCAGAGGGCAGAACTCTGAGAAGTACATTAAGTTGTCACTTGGAAGGAGAGCATGCCAGTGCCTTGGACAAACCAGTGGCTAGCAGTTCAGTGGAATATTCAGGGATCTGGAAGGAACAAGATCAGAGAGTTGGTGATAAGGAGGTCTTAAAAAAGATGTTGAACCACTTGGAATGGACACAGGATGAGCATATTGGGTTCCCTTCTGAATGAATCTTCTGCAGGGGCATTTGAGAAGCAGGTGGGCAAGAAGACCTCTGAACATGTCGGTCAGCCTTTTCCCCAAGTACCCTAGTGCATATTCAAAACGAATGAAGAGGCTGTGGCGGTAGGAATGGATGATCTGTGGGCATTCATCAGCATGGTATTCTCAAGGCTAATCTGGCTGCTGAGCACCTACTAGAGACCAATACTGAGCCCCCAGTGTCGAGTGCCATACTGCCAAGGGAGACCAGCCAGCCACTTGGTGGCAGACTGGTTACGCACGAGCCCTTCCTTCATGGCCCTGGCAGGGATTTGCTTTCTGTGGAGTTAACATTTATCCCAGATACAGATGTGCTGCTCCTTCCTGCAGTGCTTCTGCCAGCATCTTTATTTTTGGACATTCTGAATACTTTGTTCACTATCTCTCACTAAGGAACCCATTTTATAGAAAAAGAAATAAGGCAGCATACTGACTATCATGGGATTCAATGCTTTTATTTTATTATGAACCTCATCACCCAGCTGGCTTCATAGGACAGTGGGATGGAGTATTGAAGTCTCAGTTACAGACCCAGGTAGGAAAAAACACTTAGCAAGCTTGGGTGTACTGACCTTAAGGTGCAGTATATGGTCTAAACTAGGTTGCTCTTTTTTCCATGGCCAGGATACATGAGGCCAGAAAACAGTATAAATGAAAGTGTTGTCTCCCACAATTAAACCTAATTATGCACCTGCAAAATAGTGCTTTGTGCTCCTATGATATTGGGCTCTGTTTCTACTAGAGGACACATAGTCTGGATATTGTATGTTCATCATGCCACCAAACCATCAAGAAAATAAGGGGGTATTGAACTGGCAGGGCCTGATTAATATGAATTACCAAGGGAAAATAGTGACGCAGCCATACAATTGAGTCAGGGACGAGTATATCTTTAACGTGGGTTTCTCTCATAATTCCATGGTCCATGATAAATGTTAATGGAAATCTACAGCTGAGCTGTCCAAGACAGGCCTAAAGGCTCAGATATTTCAGGATTGAAGGTTTGTGTCATCCTACTAGCTGGGGAGACTTCTGAGGGCAAAGGGAACAGTGAATAAGGAAGTTATAAAAAACAAGAATAAAGGACTATCGAAACTATGCATTTTTTTTCTTCCATGCTTTGTTTTTGTATGTATTAATTATGAAATTCTTTTCATTGTTTTTCCCTTTCTTGTTATGTGAGATTTGCTGGTGGTGGTTAATTTTATAAGACAGTTCTTTAGACCAGAGAATCTTAAGGTGGGATTGTGACTTAAGTAGAAGAAGGAACATCCCATAGCAATGATTATGAAGATTTAGGGGCTAGAATAAATATGCTTTCATTGGAAGGAGGGAACGGCTGCATTCGGTGGGAATGTCATTTTGATGTTGCTTAGAAGATGATCAGTAGGACTGGACTGTACTAGATAGTTAATTCTTACATAGCTTCCATTCTCAGTGCTTCTGTGTCTCCTCATCTCCTGAATTACACAATGTATGGAAGGTTAAAGCCACATTTTTCAGGTATCTATGGAGTTAATATTCTGGATAAAATTTGAGCTGTTCCGATGACTGATGAGCAGTGGTATAAGATTTGGAAGACAGAAGGGAGTTGGATTCCAGGAGCCCTTGTCAATTCTCCAGGGGTATGGAGCATCTATGGTGGCAACAGTGGTGGTGATGGGGTCCTGAGCATTGGACAACAACTGCAGTGGCAGTCACCTGATTTCCTTTCTGCCATCCCTACTAACAATTGTGTGTTTACTTCCTACTAAATCTTTCTGCTTGACATTCTTACAGTGGTTTTCTGTTTCCAGTACTGAACAGGAGAAACCTTCCTGAAAATCAAGCCTACACTGAGGGAATATAGTTGAGAAGTGAAGATTAAGAATCAAGTCTTTGTTTGAGCTCTGGATCAAGCCTCACCTGAACCAGACATATCCTAAACTAGTCAATTTTAAGAGCCCTCCCTCTCCTTTTCTTTCTAGTATGAACCAATTTATGTTTAATTTTTTTGTTTATTATATTAAAAGCACCCTAACTGATCTGATATTCTGAAAAACACTTCTTGGAAAAAAATCCCTTCATTCATTAACATGTTCAACAAATATTTATTTGTTGAGTGCCTAGCATGTGCAGCATTATGCTGCAAATACAATAATGGCCAAAAACAACAGTGTCCTTAAGTGCTTATACAGAAGTGAGTTTCTAAAGGATGGAGTGTTTATAGAAAAGGAGGAAACAATGTTTGGGGGAGTGGATGAGACACACAGATAGATTGAGTAGAAGCATCTCTGATGACTGTTAATTTTCAATGATGCCTTACGTTATATGTAACTCTTAGTGAGCACCCACTTGATTATTGTCCTATAGCCAGTACCATAGATCTATTTATCAGTTTTGACACTCAGAGGTAACTGTTAGATCAAATGATCAAATGTAAAATAACTAGCTAGATACAGATAAAAGAATCTTGTGTGTGTCAAGTATTTTTAATTCCCTTTTTAGTAGCAAGTGAAAAATAATAATTGTTGTTCCTGCATTGGGAAATTGCTGAGTAATATACTTTGAAATCCGGAAGTGTGATGCTTCCAGCTTTGTTCATTCTTGAGACTGCCTTGGCTCTTTGGCATCTTTTGTGACCCTTGCCAGTTTAAGGATTTTTTCTATTTCTGTGGAAAAATTTTGATAGGGATTGAATTGAATCTTTAAATCTCTTTGGGCAGTATGGACATTTTGACAATATTAATTCTTCCAATCCATGAGCATGGGATATCTCTCCATTTATTTGGGTCTTCTTAGATTTTTTTTCATCAATGTCCCAGTTTTCAGTATATAGATCTTTCACCTCATTGGTTAAATGTATTCCTAAGTATTTTATTCTTTTTGATGCTATTGTAAATGGGATTGTTTTTTTAATTTATCTTTCCGATAATCTGTTTCTAGTGTATAGAAATGCAACTGATTTTTGTGTATTAACTTGGTGTGCTGCAACTTTTCTGAATTCATTTATTAGTTCAAATGGGTTTTGGTTGAGTCTTTAGGGTTTTCTATATATAATATCATGCCATCTGCTGGCCACTATCCAAAAGACAAGAAATAACAAATCCTGGTGAGGAATGTGGAGAAATGGGTACACTGTTGGTGGGAATGTAAATTGGTGCAACCATTGTGGATAGCAATATGGAGATTCCTCAAATAACTAAAAATAGAAATATGATTTGACCCAGGAATTCCACTCCTAGGAATTTACCAAAAGAAAACAAAATCTCAGATTCAAAAAGATCAGTTATTC